AATGTCTGGGGAGCAACACAGCATCCTCACCCAAGCACGTTTTAATCTCTAAGGATTAAAAAATAATCAAGAAAGGGAGGGGACAAGGACAAGGCTAGTATCATCCCCATCCCTACCCAAGCAGCTCTCATCCCACCCAACAGCATGGAGACTTCTCAGGGCTTTGGCTGGCACTACCAGGAACATGAATCAGACCAAATTCCCTTTCTTTCCTTCACATTATTCCCTCTACAGAAAGCGTCGGGGTGGAGAGCAAAAAAAAAAAGCCAGCCAGCCCATTGTGTGATAAAGGGCAAAATAAACACCTACAGCCATTCAAACCTTGGATGCCTATTAAGAAAAGTGTATAAAGTGCACATGAAAACCAATGGTAGGTTGTAGCACGCAAGGAAATGAGTCAGGAGGAAATTAAACATAACGTACTACTTTCCCAACATAAAAAGCCACAGGCAGGATTAATCCTTTTGTGCACATCTAAAGGTGATTCTCAGATCACCTACACAAAGAGTCAGCTCTCCCTCTTGCCATGTTATTGCAGCTCTTTTTAATGATTCATGACTAAGAGCTTCAAAGAGCTCCAAGCCGTGACAACAGTCCCAGATCCAACCTATTCATTCTCATCTCAGCAAAAAAAAAATCCTTCTTGGTGAATAATTTAGGTCTATGAAGAAAAGCTGCCTTGAAACTATTCCCAAGAGAAGGAGCAGCGTCTAGAATTTAATCTCATCATGGAAATAAAAATAAAAAGAAAATATCAAAAGAAAGCAGTGACTGCAACAACAATGCAAGCCTTATTTTTGCAGAACCCATCCGTTGTGAAACACCACAGAAGGGAACACAGCTGGTTTCCCTGAAATACGTTTCATGTTTCCAGAGACCAAAGATGAAATCTAAAGCTTTGACTTTCAACTTATGATAGACACACGCAAGGATGACACAACTGCTGTTCAGGGGCTCTTGAGGAAAGAAAAAGGTCATTTAAAGCTAAAGGTGAAAACACAGACCTGACCACAGCCTGTGACACATCCTCTGCTGGCCAAGGACAGAATGGGGGGAGCAGGCTTGCAACACCCTCCCAAAATCTGAGGCAATTCTCCCCTCACTTCAAGCTGGGGATTGAATTTTTGCTCTGTTGCAAGGGCTGAGGGCCCCGTATGCTGCAGGAAGGTCACAGCATTGCTGCCATATAACACCTGGTGCTGAACACAAAGCAGTTAGAGTGCCAAGAAAGCAAAAATGCTGAATTGTGGCATCCAGGGAAAAGCAGCTACACACAACATCCACTGCATCTGTGCACCTCCACCTGAATGTTGAATTTTCTAGTGAGCATCTAAGTCTAATTCTACTCCCAAATTCCTGACCTGATACATAGAGATTGTGTCACATCACTTCAAATATTTAATCTTCTCAACAGGCTGACTGGGATATTCTTATACATTAAACTCAGATGAGCCATTCCCAATCACTTTGCCTCAACAGCAAAAAATAGCTTTGGTTTCATGGCCACCTTACAAGGATTTCTTACCATGACTGGCATCTTCATCTTCCTTGTATGAAACACTAGAATATTCTGAAGGACAGTTAATCCAAATTATAGCTCACCCCACATTCAAGAAAAAACAACAGCATAACTGAAACCAGCAATACTGAAATGTTTCTGATAATGGTACTAATTGTAATAGTGTATCTTCTGGTCCCTGGGATGCAAAGAAATATTTCAGGGGCCCTCTCTGTGTGGTGGATCAGGATGGTGTGTAGAGCTTCAGCAGGGGGAAGAGCCTCACCCTAAGGTGTATCAGATCCCACCCAAATCTTGTTTCAGCACAAAGACAAAAATGCCCTTGCCCTGACAGACCCCAGGGCTCATCTGGAGCCCTCCCATTTTCACACTGACACTATTTATTGTGGGGTGAGCTGTTCTGTTCCATAATAGCTCCTGCTTCAAAAGGCCTCCAGGATCACAGCATTCATTTGGGATTTGTCTCCATGTTTTAGAGCACTCATGTTTTGTTCCAGCTCAGCTCAGCATGAAACGTTTCTACTTCCAGGTGGCCAAAATCTGTGAAGATTATGTTTTGAATTACAATCTCATCACTAAAACTCTTCTTATTTTAGGAAGAGACCACCACTCATCCCTGCCCTTCATGCTGCAAGCCACCTTCCTGGGATGGCAAATCACCACAGGTCCCACCAGGGACCCTCAGAGGCTTCACCCTTGGTTTGCCAGGGAGCCTTGTGCAGGAGCAGAGACCTGGAAAGAATTATTAATGAGATGAAATGACAGACCTTTCAGCAAGAACAATGCCCCTCTAATTAGCTGGGCAAAGTGGGTGATACACTGTGTGCACAGGTCTGGTTATGCTCCCTGGGGACAGCACAGCTCCCTGAGCACCTCCCACCTGCAGAGGGACAACAGCTACACCCAGATGACCATGCCCAGTCTGAAACATTCCTTTTGCGGGGGGCAAAACCCAATCCTGATTAATTACCCTGCAATTGGGTGGTTTTGTGAGGGCTGAAATGGATGCTGCAACCAGCCCTCCCCAGCCATGCAGAACACCAGCTGCTTGCCCAAACATGTTTGCTGGGGCTTAGCAGACCTGCTGGAGATACCATGGGCACACAAGGCACCCATGCATGCTGAGCAGCTCTGCGTACACTTGCACAGATAAAATATATCTGCATTACCAGGGTTTCTTTGGGGGCAGATTGAGCTGAATCCAACATACGTTCCCTTTCCCTCAAATCCTTCACTAAAACTTCTTCCTCTTCTGTCATTTTGAGACAGAGCAGGTGTCAGAGACAACTGTATATGGCCACCAAAATCTGTCATACCAGGCAAGGGACACCTTTGAGCTCTCAGAAATAATTACTATTAAAGCCAGGGCTTGGCATAAAGACACTGAACTGCTCAGACACACAGTGAGCAGTTACCAGATTTACACACACCCCAATACATCCATTTCTAAGTGTAAATTTGAACTAAAGCAGCTCTTTGCTTATTCAATAGCTCATACACTTGGCTTTTTCAACACAAGCAGGAGGCTTACAAGAAGAGAAGATTCACTTTTGGAAAGCTCAAAAATTTCCTTCAATTTTTCTCCAGCCTGTACATGAGTTTTCCATCTTGGGGAAAGTTCAAATTGCTGTCAGCTAAAGCTGCACCCACATTTTTATTAGCCTAGGGGGAGGGCAAATGGTTTTCTCTCCCCAAGACTGTTCCTGTGCACAGCAAAGGCTGCACAGAGGGAACTACCCTGAGCTGCAGCAGGGCAGGATCACATTCCCAGCTGGGATGTGGGTCAGATAAAGCCAACTCTGCCTGGTTCTCAGTGAGCATCCTCAGCACCCGGCTGACAGTGACTCTGAAACAAGCCTTTCGTGCTCTCCTGCAGTTCTTGTCTTCCTCGTACAAGAAATCAGGTAATAATTCATGTCAAAGGTTTGCACCAGGATCTGCCACACACCAGGTGCACGTTTCTGTCCCCGGGCTGTGGAACAAACCTCTCTCCTTAGCCCTGCTGGGATTTCAGAACACGCACCCCAAAACACCCCCAGCAGGATGCAGCGAGAACCCCAGGAGCAGGTTCAGAGCCGTGAAGTGCCCAAAGCACAGAAACTATCACACTGCTCCCCCACCCCCACCGCCCAGACCAGCCCAGGAAGGTGCCTTTCACCCCAAAAAGCTCCCTGCCACGTCGGCCACC